GATCCTTTTTATTTTCTTGGCCCTGAGCTAACATCTGTTGCCAATCTTCTTTTTTTTCTTTCTTCTCCCCAAAGCCTCCAGTACATAGTTGTATATTCTAGTTGTAAGTCCTTCTGGTTGTGCTATGTGGGACGCCACCTCAACAGGGCCTGACAAGCTGTGCTATGTCCGTCCCCAGAATCTGAACGGGTAAAACCCTGTGCCGCTGAAGCAGAGCGCAAGAATTTAACCTGGTGGCCACAGGGCCGGCCCCCAAGATCCTTAATCTATACCTCCAACCCTTACTTTCTTTATACCTTATTATATTGCCAACTGCCTACCCTGACTTTCTGGTTGTATCTTTCATTACTTGAAGTTGAACATTTCTAAGACCAAACTCATCACTGTTTCCTTCAAATCAACACCCTCTGTAGCCTGTGTTTTTTTCTGTCAGTCATTTCCATCTTCATCTAAGCCAGAAACATCAGTTATCTTTATTTTTTACTTTTCATTATCCCTTGGCTTGATAGCCAGCATATTAACTATGCTCCCACTGTTTATTTCCATATATGTAGCATATGGGGTTTTTTTCATATGTCTAAGAATAGATTATTTCCATTGCATTTCTATTGCTTTTCCACATGTTCAGTCCTGGACAGTTGCAGTAGCCTAAGTCTAATTTCCCTTCGATTATTTCTCTTTATATTACTGTCAACTTTACATTGCAGGCCATTCATTCATCGTGTTAAAAAGCCTTCAGAGGCTTCCAGTTACATATAGGGTAGAGAATAAGCTTCGTACCCTAAAATTCAACACTGTTTCTACTGTAGTCTAGTTCCAGACTTGTTCTCAAACCCAAGATAGCTCCCCCTCTTTCCTGATAATAGCCTGAGTTTTTTTTATCTCACACTGCTTTTGCTCATGTAATACAATATTGACTGAAATATTCTTCTCTAGTGGTCTCCTCATTTTAGCTATCTAAACCCCTACCATTCTGTCAAACTAGATATTCCAAGAAACTTCATCCAAATGTCCTGTCCTACAGTGATTTTTCCTTTCATGAAACTACTGAAACACTTATTTTATACCCATTCATTTAGGCCTTATTTGACTAGTCGCCTTGTATCATAGATTTATCACATATGTGTATTCTAGTTATACTTTGTATACCTGTCTCATCTCCCCTGATAAACTTTAGATTTTCTTACAGCAAAACTCGGTTTTATACTTCTCAGTGTCTGTCATTGAATATCTTGCATATACATATATGTCTTGTGCTTAATACATTTTTAAATAGAAATGTAGACAACTTTAACATATTTGTTTTGATTCAATGTTTTAGAAATACTGTTACAGCAGATACATACCTATCTATATGTATACATACACAGACACACATATATCTATTTTACAAACTAGTCTTTGGGTGTTCATATTTATATTTAAATCTAAAATTAAATGGATACTTCTTTCAAAAATCACATCACTAAGAAATTTAAGATTTGTACATGAATGTTATTTATCAGTTTATCATTTTACAAAGAATTGTGAAGCCTATTATCTATACCCAATCCATTTTCATAATAGAAATTTTATTTACCTCACTGTAACTTTCCTTTAAATCCATTTTTTAAATAAAATGCATTTGGCCACTAGTTTCCTTTCAGCTGACAAGAGCTTCCCTTTATGCTGTGGAACCAACTTATTATAGGGCTGACACTATCATAATTCATCTCAGAGTTATATGTCAGAAATCTCTTAGGGTTATGCCCATATGAAAAAAAGGAACTACTCTATGACGGTAACAATTTAGATAATTCTGTAAGTTCAACAAAGTAGAGTTTTCATAATGGAGTTAAAATTTATATAGATTAAGTAATCAAATTAAAGTAAGTCTGTAGTAATAATTTGAAGCTTAAGCTTATTTTGGAAATGTAAAAATAAAATGAAGCAAGTGACAAACTATTGGCCTTGGATAACTCAGTGAGCTGTAGCTGCAAGCATGCCCTTCCTTATGTGGCACTAACCTGCCTACGTATTACCAACACTCACTGACTATACTCCTAAACTCTTCTAGAGTAGAGATTCCTAACTTGTGCTACTTAGATGGGCTTCAGGCATTTGATTTCTGTTTTAAAAATATTTATGTGCATTATTATGGGAAGAAGTTCTGTAGTTTTCCTCAGCTTAAGATCTTCACTAAAACTACACACAATATCTGTTCATTTTCCTTGTGACGCAGCCTTTCAGTTGTCTTAAAGTCTTACTCTTTTTCTTCTTTCCCGAGTATCTTCTTTAGGCCTAATATCCCTACATCCCTTAGCTCCTCCTTATATAACATGAAGTCTAGACCTGTCAGCAGTCTTTATCAGGTCCTGGTTTCCTTTAGCCGGATAAGTTCTAGTTTGTCAATATGCCTCATAAAATGCGATATCCAGAATTGGACGCTTTTGTAGTTATTCGTATAGATGATAGTGAACTACAACCTTCCCTTTTCTGGAAACTATGTTAAATTAGACTAATATTAATGTTCATGGTTTCCTTTGCCTGTGAGACACCACGCACACACAGGCATCTACACTGCAGAGAGTTCTAGTCCTTATTAATAAATGTATGTGCTGTGTGCTCTAGGAATCTCTCTGTACCATTCTCCCAAAACTTTATTAAAAACCAAAAATATTTATATCACTTACTAAACAAATGCATAGTTATTCAACAGATCTCATGCTATGGTTTCTTTTGTATTTCATTGCTTACATAACAAGATAGAAATTCAGGTGGTTGTCAGCTTGCTTATTGAAGATTATAATCTGGTCCCATGCCTTTTCCTATTTGTCATCTCTTTACCCTTCATTTTGCTAGCCCTTCTAAATTAATCTTCCTTTCCAGGAAAATCCCAGGCTTGAAACTGATACCTCCTTTCCTCATAACAGAATTGGCTTATTTCAAGCTGTGTTCTTCATTTTTAGGACTGGGTTTAAAACTGACTGTGTATCTGCTTACTCCTCTGTATCTGATTGATTTTGGAGAACTCAAGTTAAGGCAGATTCTCAAAACATGATTCCATAAAAAAGGAAATGACCAACAGTATGTTTTTGTGATGCCTACGTGAGGCAAATACCAATGTTAATTTATAACTAAGGAGCATCAAATGATATTAAAATGGCATATATCATATAATTATAGAATTATATACTATTTAGTGGCTCATATTAGTGGTTTTTATATTTTGTGTAATTTTTAAAGAGGAGATTCTAATTAGTTTTACATCTCTTAAACATTGATTTACAAGTAGGTATGAATAAAGAGCCTATTCAATAATACTTAATTGACATTCTTTTGTCTTTGAATCACTTGGATTAAAATTAAACACTGGAATACTTCTGAAATATTGTTATTCTTTTAAATGGAGGAATTTTGGAAAAAATCAAACCAGACACCTTTTGTTAAGTAGATCAATTAAATATACAGTCAACTCTCGATTATTCAAACTAATGGAAGAAAGGATGGAGCAAGAATTACTATTTCTCTACTTCCTGTCCCCTCAGACAACTGCTGAAAGCCTCATTCCAAACAAATTCTTTGGCTTTCCATCTTGATCGTGTTACATTTTCTAGCCTTGTATCCAGGGTGCAGTCTGAAATACGGCTTATGAGTTGACAAGAAAGTTTCATATTATCATATTGTATTCTTCCTTATATACATTTTTAAGATCAGTGCTTTATCATTGCTTTTGTATTATTAAAATTCACATGAGAATTTGATAACATTGCTGTTAGGATATTATCCTGATGGCTCATAAAATTAGTTTTATATGAAAAAAATCTTATCTTTGAATTATAATTTATACTTAATTATAACCTTTCAAAAGCGTTACCTCATGGTACCAAATTGCTTTTAAAATTTTTTAATATGAAAATTTTATGAGAGTTTATCTTGGAGTCTTATAAAATTTCTTCCAACTTTTTGAATTCTTAATGTGTGCAATAGTTCTGAGTACTATGTAAGTGTTTGTAAAAGGGAAGAAATGCTGAAGGAATTTGTGTGAAAACAGTATGTTGCGTGTATATAATACGTCATTTTCTCTACCAATTAACTGTACACAATATGCTATTATCCAGACATAAGCATTCATGGGAATGCATGTATCTGGATAACTGCAAGTTGAAATAAACACACCTGCCTTTTATTTCAATAACTGCATTCAAATCCACATAAGGCATTTATTTGAATGTGACCTCCATATACATGAGAGAACATTGGTTTCAGCGTTTGATTTTTTGTTGATGTTTTGTTGTTGTTGATTTAAATCTAATTCGTAGACACAAACTTATGGATAATGCTTCTCTGGAAAACTTTGCATGCAGAGAAAAGGAAATTCAAAGGTAAATCGTATGAAAAACGTTGAAATTTTTTTGTCTTATTATGTTTGTGTCAGTATATATTAGAGCTTGATTCCTAAAGAATGTAGCAATGCTTAAAGCCAAAGTGTGTACAACCCATGAGCCTGCCTGGAACTGTGCCTACTTTAAGTTAAATAATTTAGTTATTTTTCTTTCCAGAATAAAACTGTTAGCCTTTCATTTGGAGAATCTTTTTTTCTCAAGTATTTCCTTGAATAATATAGTAGAATATGTATCTGAACTTTAAGAAATCATGTTTTCTATTAGGCAGCAGAAATGTTTGTTACAAGACTTATTTTAAAGTCTTCATAGTAGTTTCTGCCCCCAATCTAGGCCATATTTCTGTTTAGTTAGTTTTAACTGACATGAGCCAGAAAATTGAATTAGGAATTCTCTAGGAGTCTTAACTTTGAATTTCCTACTTTCCATTGCATGTAAACTATCAACCACAAATAATGGTTTCAGTTCAAGTTCTAGCTTGTATTTTGCATGTTAAAGCTATAAAAAAGTCTGTTAATGCTGGAAAGAATTTATGGCTATTGTTCTGCTATTGCCTAATTGTTAAAATTTATAAATAGAGACTGATTTTATTTATGTAGATTTGTCTTTCTGTCTTAGGGAGTCAACTACTTTATGTCCAAGGGTATCCTAGATGATTCACCAAAGGAAATAGCAAAGTTCATCTTCTGTACAAGAACACTAAATTGGAAAAAACTGAGAATCTATCTTGATGAAAGGTAAAAAAAAATTTTAAATTTTCATCAAAAATGAGTTAAGTAATGCTTTTAATGAGTTGTTTTATTTTAGAAACTATACTACATAGTAGTCATCTAGCTGAAAAATCTCTGTCACAGCTGTTTGTAACTTCCATTGTGTCATGAAAGCAGACATAGACAGTATGTAAACAAATGAGTATGACTGTGTTCTAATAAAACTTTATTTATAAAAACAAGCAGGGGGCTATATTTGGCCCACTAGCTGTAGTTTGCTATCTCTGCCAAAAGCAATCAGTAGAAATTAAAGATTATGATCATACAATCATGGTTGAGTTCAGTAAGAACTGAAGCATATTATAACAAAGTGTGACTATTCATTAGAATGCTCTTGATAAAATAATTTATGTACACAAATATTTATATAATTGTAAATAACTAAATGTATATCAACAGAAGTGTTACATACTTAAGATGGGATACTGTGGACCCATTAAAAAGAATGACTTAGATCTACGGGTAAAGACATGGGAAGCTGTTCACAATATACTATGTGAAATAAGCAAAAGCCAATTCTGGACCAATATATAGTATATATTGGCATTTTTTAAAAGTCTATATAAATAGTTGTTACTTCTGGTAATGTGGATTGGTGTGTGAGGTGAAAACTCATTATTTTCGTAATTAAAAAATAAAGAATTCTGTTGCTGTTTGGATTTAGCCAAGAGGACACTTGAAAAGCTGCTGCCTTTTTTATACTGCAAAATTCCTTTTTTCTTCATTTTATAATTAGAATTACTAGTTTTACCTTGTTAGAACCTATTTACAAAAAATTTTTAAATAGTTTAATTTCTTAATCATAGATTTTTTTAATTTTGAGTTATATATTCTTTATGGGATTAGCTGATCTAGTGATCAATAACAAAATATTTTCATCCAAAAAATGGCAATTTATTATTTTTCTTATTTTTTAAGAGAGAAACATTAACTAGAGCTGTATCTTTTTCTTTTTCTACTAGGAGAGATGTCTTGGATGACCTTGTAACGTTGCATAATTTTAGAAATCAGTTCTTGCCTAATGCACTGAGAGAATTTTTTCGTCATATCCACGCCCCTGAAGAGCGTGGGGAGTATCTTGAAACTCTTATAACAAAGTTCTCACATAGATTCTGTGCTTGTAACCCTGATTTAATGCGGGAACTTGGCCTTAGTCCTGGTAAGAATATATATGGTGAATTCCTTCCTTCCTCCCTCCCACCTCCAGGTAACAATAGTAGTATATGAGACATTTTTCTCACCTTGAAAACATGCTTTCAATAATTACAGATACTTCTTTTACTGCTTGTACCAAGGACTACTTCAATGGAATACATCATTTACGTGAGCTCAGAAGGAATACTTTAGTTTGTCATAGCTATCAATTATATTTAGTAAACATACTGTTTTAGTTTAACTTTCTTTGTATATAAATTCTTTAAAATTATTCTTGTTTGACCATTGGGCATTTTTACTAATCTAATTAAAAATGTGAGAAATTATTTATTTATTTTGCTGAGGAAGATTGGCCCTGAGCTAACATCTGTTGCCAATTTTCCTCTTTTTGCTGGAGGAAGATTCATCCTGAGCTAACATCTGTGCCAGTCTTCCTCTATTTTGTATGTGGGTCGCTGCCACAGCATGGTTGCTGACAGAGTGGTGTAGGTCTGCGCCTGGGAATCCAGGCCCCTGAAGCAGAGCACACCAAACTTAACCAGTAGGCCATGGGGCCAGCCCCAACAAATTACTTTTAAAGCTTTTAATAAACTACATGTTATATAGGTAACACCTAGAAGTTTTCTACTAAAATTTATTTTTAATGCAACTAGTTTTCATCGTTTGTGTGTCTATGTATGTGTATGTGATATAGCCTGAGTCTCCTACATATTTTTTCATTTGATATAGCTTTAGTTATCTCTTCATATCAAAAGTTTATTGTGTTTATCTTATTAAGCAGGGGTTGCAAAACATTTAGTTATCATATGAAATTTGTTGAATGTACTTTTACAAGGTATAATGTTTAACTTAGATTACAATTGTGAGATTCTGAAGTAAACACCATAGTAGTAGCAAGTAGCGAGTATCATGAGGTTTGTTACTATTTTAATAGTAAACATCAAATATTGCCCTGAGCCTATGTAAAGAAGAAATTTTCTTTTTGCTCAGTCAGCTTTAGCAATATTTTCCCTAAAGATTTACTTTTGAAAGTAGTATGTAAAGTCCATTGACTTTTAAAATATATATCTTAAATGAGAATGTTAATTTAATAATCTTATGAGTTGTTTACATTTTATTTTCTAGTACCAAGTTATTATCTTTCTTGTCCTTAAAGATGCTCTCAATTAAATTAGATTTTTGTAAAAACATTGTATGTAGATAACTGTGGCTGCTTTTTTAAGAATGGGAAGATAAATATACTGACAGTACAAATGTACTTTATGGATAGCTGAATGGGAACATCACGTTTAAAAGCAAAGGTGAAAATAAAGCCCAATCTGAAATTTTCAAATTTAAAATGAGTTTTCACTATAAACTCCTGAACTATTCTAAAGTTCTTTTGGATTGAAGAAAATGCTCACTGAATTGGTGTTCAGTTAGGATGATCAAGAGTCCATGTTTGCCCAGGATTGAAGAGTTTCCCAGGACACAGGATTTCCAGTGCTGGAACTGGCAAAGATGCAGGCAAACTGGGACGAGTTGGTCATCCTGTATTTAGTTATTTTCTAATCTTGATTTCTTGAAATTTTGAATATCTGCGTTATTTAATTCCTTTGGGAATCACATTTTTTAAACCAGCTAATAATTTGCAATGTTTCCCTTTAATTCCAGATGCTGTCTATGTACTGTGCTACTCTTTAATTCTACTTTCCATTGACCTCACCAGCCCTCATGTGAAGAATAAAATGTCAAAAAGAGAATTTATTCGAAATACCCGTCGTGCTGCTCAAAACATTAGTGAAGATTTTGTAGGGCACCTTTATGACAACATCTACCTTATTGGCCATGTGGCTGCGTAAAAGCACAATTGCTACGACTTCAGCTTTTAACTTCAAACTTAAGCTACCCAAGGACTTATTTAGCGGATAAGGGGGTTACATTAGTGCTGGTCATTCCAGCCTCTGTATACAATCAAGCTTGAGTGGACAAACTTTTTTTTTCTTTTACTATTCTCTTTTTTAGTAATTTCCTTGGGGAACTAAAAAATTTTGCAGAATTTTTCTTAATTTTGCTTATCATGTTTTGCACAAAGCAGAGCCATTGTCTGACACAGCTGTTTAAGAATGTTAAACTGACATTATACTCTAAAAGATGGTATATTTGTGCATTAGATTTGCCTGAAAAACTTTATTCACTTCCATTCTTTTTAAAAATACCATGTAATGTGTACATATTTAACTAAAGAGATTTATAATCATAATTATTTTATTGTAAAGATTTTAACTAAAGCCTTTCCTTTTTCTCTCAAACTGAGTTCTGAAATTTATTTTGAACTTTGAAAAGAGTATTGATTTGTTACTATATTAGTATGCAAAACAGGTACTTATTTTTATAATATAAAGTCATCACTTGATTTTTCATTTTTAAGATTTGTAGGTTAGTCAAGACTCACTAAGTCTTTTAAACCATTTGGGATAGCAAAAATGTTAAAATATAAGATTTCCACATATAAGAACAAAGTGTTACTAGAACTTATATCTGAAGTAACTGGTCAAACTTTACTGTTCTAATCTTGATGATTTTGTTCAAAATCAGTTGAGAAAGGGAAATTGTGAATGATAGTAAGCATTCTTTATTCATTCATTCATTATTTCCCAAGGGCCTTCCATGTGCTAAGCACTGTGCCAGGTACTGGCGATACCTAGACATGGGCTCTGCCTTCACAGATGTTACATGATTGAGTAATGAGAGGAAAAACACTGCTTAATGGAGAGCAAATGGATAAAGTATAGCTTAACTATTAATAATAAAACACGTAGCATTGGAATGATAAAGAACAATATATGTATATGGTAGCTCAGAAGTTCCCTGGAAATACCATTAAGTGAAAAGCGTCAGCTTTGGAATGATACACTGTGTGACGCACAGAGCTGCTGGTTTAGGGGAAGGGAATCGGGGGAGTAGAAACTGCTTACCAGAGGTGTGACATCCTGGCTTCCTTCCAGATCTGGCTCTCAGTCAATAGTGGTTGGTAATATTACAACTGGAATATTGTACTACAGAATTTTCAAGGACAAAACGTAAGGTAATCAAAAAATTTGTGAAAGTCAAAGGGACTTTTAGACTAGTAGTAAATAATTTCTAAGATTCTGAAGCAAATATCTAAATGATTTTCACATGTGCATAATTTTGAATTCCATGACAAAATAATTTTAATTTTTAACTTCAAAACTAATTTATTGTTTCAAAAGACAAAGAATAGTGATAACATTATTATTTCTGTTTTCCAATGGATAGCATCTTGCTATATCTCTCTAAATCTCCTATCTTTTCTTCGTTTTTTTCCATCCCTGTCTCTCCCTTACCATTCTCTTCTCTCTGCCTCTGTTTTAGCTTGACTGTGTTTTTTTTGTATCTTTCATTTCCTTTCTTTTTTTTTTTTTCCTATTTTCTGGTTTGTTTTTCCACCTTGACCTGATTATAAATGTAGAATGGCGGTATTTTTTTTAACATTTTCTTATGAAAATTCTCAAACATATAAAAAAGTTAGAGAAAGCCTATATGCCCACTACCTAGATTCTACAATTAAAATTTTACTGCATTCACTTGACCACATATTTAGCCATCTCTTTATCCGCCCACTACCTAGATTCTACAATTAAAATTTTACTGCATTCACTTGACCACATATTTAGCCATCTCTTTATCCATCAATCAACCTATCCTATTATTTTGATACAAGTCAATCTAAGTTTCAGACATTTCATTCCTAAAGACTTTTGCTTGCATGTTATTAGCTAGAGATCCATTTTTTTTTTTAGGTTTTTTTCTTTTTAGGTAAAATTTATATTCAGTGAAATCCATAAAGCTTAGGTGTACTAATCAGTGTGTCTTCACAAATTCATACACGTGTGTAAACCAAACCCTTATCAGGATGTACAACTTTTCACAGCCCATTTACAGTTAATATTGCACCACTTCACCTAAAATATGGAAACCTTGTAACCATATAGAGGTGTTTATCCCATTCACCTGTTATCTTATGGTTGTCGTATGTATTCCATATAGTATATATTACAAACGCCACAATATAATAATTTGCTTTGGACAGTCATACACATTTTAAATAAATTAAGAAAAAAATATTCACTTATGTTTAGCCACATTATCATTTCTAATGCTCTTATTCTTTCCAGAAGATCCAGGTCTCCTTGTAGTATGGTTAATTTCAGCCTGAAAAATGTTAACATCCATTACAGTGCAGGTCTGCTGGCAATTAATTAAGTATCATATAGTTTTATTTTATATGAAAAGTCTTTATTTTGTTTTCCTTATTGAAGAATATTTTTGCTGAATGTATAATTCTCTATTGAGAGGTTTTTTTCCTTTGGCACCTTAAAGACGTTGTCCCATTGTCTTCTGGCTCCCATTGTTTCCATTGAGAAGTCACTGATACCTGAAATTGTTTTCCCCCTGTGTGTAATAATTTCATTTTCCTCTCGTTGCTCTTTTTGGTCAAATTTTTTTCAGCCTCGTTTTCTCTTTCCTCTTTTTCTTTACACGTGTGCTAGAACTTGATATCATCTCACAGATCTGTTTACTTTTTTCTGATCTTTTTCTCTCTTTTCTTCAATTGGATTATTTCTCTTGATTTATATTCAGTTCACTGACTCTTCTGTAATCATTCTTCTTTTAAGCCCATTCGGTGAACTTTTTTCTGTCAATTAACTATTTTTTTGTTCTGGAAATTGTTTAGTTTTTATAATTTATATTTCTGTGTTGAGATTTCCTATCTTTCATTCATTACAAGCACATTTTTCCTTACAAACTTGAACATAGTTATAATAGCTGCTTTAAAATCCTTATCTGCTCAACTTGATACATAGATCATTTTGGTGACAGTCTTATTTGGTTGTCTTTTCTTTTGAGAAGGGATTATATTCTGCTGTTTCTTTATATGTTAGTAATTTAGATTTTTGTCCTGGACATGGTGAATAAAATATTGTAGGAACTCTGGATTCTGATAGGTTTCTCCAAAGACTTTCTTTTTTTTTAAGCTGGCAGTTAATTTCACGGAACTCCAACTGCAAGCTCTTGCTCCCCTGCAGTTGGTAGCAGTTCAAATTTCAGTTCAGTTCTTTAACCTGGATGATCTACATGAAATCTTTCCTGTGCATGCATACTTTCAGAGACTAGCTGGAGTATGGGGCAGAGTTTATACACAGAACTTAGGTTGCTCTCTCGGGTTCTTTCCTTTCCATTATTTCCCTATATTTTCCAGCAGCTGTTATTGCCCCAAACTCTGCCCCATGGTTCTTCAAGTCAGCAAAACTAAAGGTTCCCATGACGCAGACTGGGGACTGCTCTCAGGTGAAGAGCTGTAAAAATGGGAAACTCACGCAATGCTATTCTCTTCTTTCAAGTGTTCTCTCCTTGGTAGTATCAGCCTATATTGGGTTGCTTTCCATTGCTTTCAGGTAGTTAATTTTTATATTTTGTCAGCGTTTGTGGCTTTATCTGTTGGAGGGTTGGTCTGAAAGAACTACTTGGCCATCATCTGAAGTGGAACCCTCTCCAGCTGAGCAGTATTCTTTTTGCTACTTCCTCTGCTTGCTGAAGGGGAATTTATTCCTGGTTACTTTTAAAACTAGGTGAACAGAAATTTTAAAAGGTTCTGTCTCTGGGAAATCTTAACAAATGTTTACTAACCATTTTCTAAATTAGCAATTAAGTATTTTTCACTGGAGGTCCCACTGGCTTTGGGGAAAGGATGTTCTTCATTATGGAAGACTGCTCCATGCAGTAGGGGACATAAACACAGACTCTTTCTACTAGATGCCAGTAGTATCCCTTAGTGATCGTGACATGCAAATAATATCCCCACATATTTCCAAGTGCCTGCTGAGGAGACATATCCCTTAAAGTTGGGAACTATTAGACCTTCTTTCAGCCATAACAAATTTATCTTTCTAAAACACAAACTCCATATGGTATATCTGTTTAAAGTCTTTCAGTGTCTCCCTTCTCTACAAAATTAAGTGTAGGCTCCTTAGCATGACATATAAGATCCTTCACAATCTGGCCCCAGCTTATCTTTAAAGCCTCATCTCCAGCATTCCTCAAATGTGGTCTGGTCTGTCTGTCTTTTACAAGCTGTTCTCTTTGTGATATCCTTGACTGCCTTCTCTATCTAAAGTTCCCCTACTCATCATCTGAGATCGACCTCGAATATAACTTAGTCATCAAAGCTCTCAAAGACTATCATCATATCTGTCATGCATACCACTGGTGTTAATTGCTTCTTCCTTTGTGAACCATAGCACTTTATACATATCTTTATTATTATAATTATACTATAATTTTTTACATGTCCCATTCCTTTATCAGAACGTGCTCTTATTAAAGTCAAGGACTGCTCCATCTGCCAGCTTCTATTAGAAAGCCTGAACTAAGCAAGTGGCAGAGGATTTAGAGAGGAGGAATAAATCAAAAACACGGGAAATTGATAGGATTTAGTGACTTTGGATAAAGGTATCTGATATGAGGATGTGGTTGTCCTATTATCAAAGGTAGCCACTAGGAGAAGCAACCAGTGGAGTGAAATGCAAAAGATAAACGATCCCAATTTGGGGATATTTTGAATTTGAAAGTATCAATAGAATGTTAACTGACTGCAGCTAGAGAATAAGACTAGCGTTCAAAAAAATCCAGGCTTGGGACCAGCCAGGTGGTATAGTGGTTAAGTTTGCAAGCTATGCTTCAGAGGCACAGGATTCATGGGTTTGGATCCTGGACATGAACCTACACACTGCTCATCAAGCCATGCCGTGGCAGTTTCCCACATACAAAATAGAGGAATGTTGGCACAGATGTAAGCTCAGGGCCAATCTTTCTCAAGCAAAAAACTAATTAACTAAAAAGTCCAAGCTGGATGTGCAAGTTTGGGGGTTGTATTAGTATTTATGTTATACTAAGTGAAGCATAAGAAAAGACAACTCCTATAGGGAGTATGATGAGTAAAAAGAAGTGCTGTGTGGAAAACACAGCATTTTGAGTTTTGGAAGAGAAAAAGAAGTCAGAAAAAGGTTGTTGAAATTGTGGAAGGACCAGAGAAAAATGGTATCCCAAGAGCTAGGGGAGGAGAGTTTCAAAAAGGATGCTGAGCTTTGCATCTGCTGCAGCACAACTAAGTTTTTACCCATCTATATTCAGGCCTGTTTTAGTCTACCTTTTCCACTTGGGGCTGAGTTCTTTGAGGCTGGAAAGCCATAGTAGTGCTAATGGCTTTTATATTGTCTCTGATCAAATT